TTTATAATATATACCTATAAATTTGTACGAAACCCTCGCTGGGCGAGTGTCACTCGCACTTTCGTCCGATTCTTTTAATATCATTAAACTGAAAATTGTGTTATTTTTTCTATTATTTATTACCGATTATCGATGTCAAGAAATGAAAAAAAAATATAATAAATGTTTTGAGTCTAATATATCCACTAGAGTTTAGTTAAAAAATGTAAAATAAGTTTAATTAAGAATTTAAGTTTTTTCAAGACAATTTCTTCATCAACGACCTTACGAAATATATGTAGATACATTGACGTCAATAGTGTGGGGCATTTAAATTTATCAAAATACCAATTATATATAATATGGTACAATAATCTATCCCCCAGCACGTTGCAGTTCAGTTCACCTTTGCAGAAGTTGTCAGTTGACCAGCAGTCTTTTCCGTCAATTGGTATACAGCGGGCTACACCGCGGACATAGTACGGCTCGCGTTACTTTTACTATAATTGACACCGTGAAAGCATTTGGCTTTGTTATTTTTTACCGGTGAGTAATTTTGTGTTCATTAACCGAAAGTAAATTACCTACGAAAGTTTTTTTTGTGGCAACTAACACTATTTTGTACAGTGTGATCAAGAAAGATTTTTACTTCAAACTTTTTTACAAAATAGGCGGACAATAGTAAGGTATACATTTTAAAAATATATTCGTATACAGTAAGTTTTATTGTTGGATAATATTTTGAGAAAAATGTAGGTATTCTTTATAAAAAAAATTTCTTGCTCTAATTTTTTTGTTATAGTTTCTAAATTTTCATACCGTTTAAGAGGAAAATAAAAAAGGACATACGGTTTGAATGTTTCATCCTAAATTAAAAAACGCGTTTATATGGTAATAATATTTCAAATTCAAATTCAAATTCAAATTTCTTTATTAGACCCCCATTAAGTTTTACAGAATAATATTAGTATTAATAAATGTGTGTCTAAAGGGAACGCACCGCGATTAAAAAACCGATACAATGGCACAAAGTGCCAGAGTGGTGCGACCCCAATTTGGGTGCGACCCCAATTTCGTTTTCATTCTTTGATAAAAATTTATTACTAATTTTCATTTTTCCAAAGCAACTATTAAAATTGCTTTATATCTATCAAAAAAAGTAGACAAAATAGTACTTTAACCGCAAGGGTAGATTAAATGATACTTTAACAGCGAGGATAGGTTAAAAACTTTATTTCTTCACGCACGTTTTTTAATTGCTTCCATTTTTGTAAATTTCTGTATTCCTTTTCATAAGTTATTTGGGATTTAAATGGAAGTAGTTTGGATATGGCGTTTGTCGCCTCAGCCTGAATATCTGTTGGTAATTTACTTATTTCGTTTTGAGTCATTTCTGGTTCCAATTCAATCAGCAATCGACATGAACGAGAATTAAAAAATATTGACTCAAAACTGATAACTAAAGAGACAGCTGTATTTATTTGTGAAATTACATAGAAACCAACGCGAACCCAGCACAATATTATTTCTACTCGTAATAAATTCCTTGAAATAATAATTTCTGAATATTTTGTAAACCGTAACTCGCTATGGAAAAAATATTGTTTTATATACGACGATAAAATTGCATTATCGTCTCCCGAATTTTTTTTCCCGGTCGACGATAAAATACCATTTTATCATCTTGTATAAAAATAACTATTAGTGTCACATCTTTTGCTGTATTAAAATACATTGTTAAAGATTCACATCATTTATTTAGTTCAATGTTTCGGAAGGGGTGATACTACTTATTGAACAGGGTGATACTTTAACTTTGACAAAAATATGACGTTAATCAAAATTAATAATAACCCTCTATCAAAGTATGAAAGCGAAATAATAAAAACACGTTTTGGTTTTTAGGACTTTTGAAATTTAATTGCATTTTCTTTTTCTTTATTTTTCTCTAAAAGGTATAAAAATTTGAAAATGTAAAAACGGAATTAACCATTATCAGAATAAGCAAAAATGTTGATAAAGTATTTTTCCCAAAATGTTAATAATAAAATATGTTTTTCCTCTTGTAAGGTATATGCTGTATACAGACCCATACAGTGGGCGGTACGTCATGTTAGTACGAACGTCAGGTCCCTGGTACGTACAAGTACGTACAGGTACGTACTATGTACGTACCGGGGACGTACATTTTCCACGCTCTGTACGTCCCCGGTACGTCCCTGGGACGTGGCAATGTACGTACTATGTACGTCGCATGTACGTACATTCCAGGTACGTACATTTTATGTTTTGTTCCGGACCAAAACTGGACATAAAATGATCGAAAGTACGTACAATGTACGTACTATGGACGTTCAATGTACGTACTATGGACGTATAATGTACGTACAATGTACGTACTATGGACGTACATTTTTCAACGACGTATACGACCTAGGAATTTAATTAGAAATAATTCAATGGAAGTCAGCTTAAAATATTTATTAATATAAAAACTCAGGTACAGGGTCATCCCTTATGTCTTGATACTCTTGATACACCCCTGAGTCTAGCTTCGGTCCGGCAACTACACCCTTAGCGCACTCTGTCTTTTATTGGATGTTGATAGATATTTTATTTTTTTATTCTCGAACTGCTTCTAACTAACAAATACAAAAAGAAAACTAAGTATTCGAATATCTAATTTTTGCCTCTGTTTTGAAAAAAATTGAATGTGCCGATTCTCAATCATTCGAGGTTATGACTGTGCTAGGTGAAATAGTCACATTATATTATTACACTTTAACTTACCTTGAAACAACGAGCAACGAAAGCAACGACAAAAGAAAACAAGGTGGAAGCCAAACAACCTACGGCCACCATGACACACAACACAATCGAAAATAGAAAACTGGGTCGGAGTAGGTGCGCACTCAGTGTATTGTTGTTTTTATTATATAAATTAATAAAAGATGAAACTACACCGAGTGCGCACGTGCGCTCTAGCTCGGCCAATCGAAAACGCCATTAGAAACCGCCCGACTTCCGATTCCGACAAGACTCGAATGTGAACGAATAACTTAGCGGGAAATTTAAACATGGGACTGCATAATTTTCCTATTAGGCTTGATTGCATAATATATTGCATTTCTAACCCATCAGATTTCTTCAAAGGCTGTCATGCATTATGGTCATTGGATAATTTAGGAAATCATTTTTTTATAGCGGTCGGGTTAGATTTATTAATAAAAGAAGTAGAGGTAGGTTAGAGTGACTTGAATTAACGTTAGCCTAGAAAAGATCCAATGATCCAGTCCATTCTTTATTATTGGGTATATCTGACCAAAATAATCCAGTCATGATATTAAAATTAAATAACATTTTGTAATGCGTTTTCAAAAATTTTCAAGATACATACGTAGTACGTACTCACATGTACATCCGTAGTACGTACTCGCATGTACGTCCGTAGTACGTACTCGCATGTACGTCCGTAGTACGTACTCGCATGTACGTAAATAGTACGTACATGGGGCACGTACTATGTACGTATACTTTTGTACGTACATAGTATGTCCCTAATTGGTCCCGGGATATACCGACGTAAAATTGACATAAAATGTACGTCCCTGGGACGAAGTGTACTGTATGAGGAGTGACTCAAAAATATTGGTACACTATAGTTGTAGTTTTTTTTATATCAAGTGCTGTATATTTTTTAATAATTTTCGATATAGAGGGCCCAGAAAAATATGCGCTCTAAACCTAAATCTTAAATAATTTAAAAACGATTTATTTTAGGTATAGAAACATGTACCTATAAGCAAAAAGTAACGAATTGAAAAATTTTTTAACTATAGTGAACTAAAAAAGTGGGTTTCCATTTGAAAAAAATGATTTATGATAATTTTTTAATTGCTCAATTCCATGACAGCTGCGGCCATTGCTATATGAAATTCAATTTTTGAAATAGATATATTTTCTTTGTCACAGAAATTTGAAATAGATGTATTTTCTTTATGTCACAGTGGCTGTGGTAATCACTAAATTTGACGTTTAGGCTATAGGTACAATTTTTTTTGACAGGCAGTTTTTTCGTCCAAAAATTTTAAATATTTTTTTCTTCTGAAAAACAGTTAATGTTAGGTATAGAGTGTTTAATATCAAAATTTATAACATTTTACAGAGAATTTAAGTACCTATGTAATAAAAAAATGGGAGCATCCTTTAATATTAGAAAGTTGTTGTCAACTTCCGGTATTTCCGGAAGTGCCGCCATATTGAAAATATTTTTAATCAATAGATCTCGTTGTAAAACAATGATGTACAAAAATCTCCGATATAGATATTTTAGTTCTCTAGAAACTTCTTATGTACGCTCAGCCTGAGATACCCTGTATACAGGGTAAATCTTAAAAAGTGGAAATATTTTCTGCGCTGGTATAGATCTCGATAAAAGAAATATGTTTTCTCTATACCGTTTTTCAAATAAGTCCAAAATGACCGGGTATATTCAAGTTTAAAAATTAAGAAAAAAATGATTTTTTTAAAAATTTTGAGAACCACCCGATTTTTTCTGTATTTGAATCTCTTTTTGCCCATGGTTACCAACACACCATGGTAATAACAAAGATTAAAAAATATACCGTGGAAAATTGCGCTGTGAATGGGCAGTTCTAAAAAGTTTTCTAAAATATACGGAAAATTTAAAGGAAAGTGCAAGATTTTTTGCAAATAAAACTTCATAATCGTGTTCCTGGGGTCGAAATATACCATCCCTGAAAATATTTGCACTTATTTAAAATTCACCCTGCATAGAAAATTATAGAGATAGAGTTAAGCTTCTTCTTTATTGAATGTTTTGGAAACATTGAAGCTAATACCAGCATAGAAATAATCTCAAAATGCGGGGAATTTGTAGCCGTCGATCTTACAAAATACGCACAATGACGTCAAGAATATCTGGTCTACATAATTGACTCAATAAGTGACCGGGTACCTTCTTATTTACCATAATACTATCGATACGTTGGTACATTGATACGTCCCCCCGGCCGGTAAGCCATAATGCAGTTCACCTTTGCAGAAGCTGCTGTCGGTAGTTGGTAGTCCTTTTCCGCCAATTCGCCTGCAACAGACTCTTCATCGAGACCGCTCTAGTGCCAACAGTTTCGCTATTATCGATATCGCGAAAGCACTCGGCTTTGTTTTGATTACCGGTGAGTGGTACCATTGTGTTTAATACCCGTAAAAGAGAGCCTCTACCTCAAAAGAACTGGTAAATTTCTTCTTATAAAATTATAGTAAATATATGCATTTTTTCAATTTTTTTAAATTTTTATACAAATATATAAAAATAGTGAAACGAGTTTTAAATGTGTGAAACTTGCATTGTTCTTATTAAATTTTATAGCAATATTTTCGAATAGGTATTGAATATTATAATAGATATTACAATACCTATTCCAATATTCAATACCTATTACAATATATTATAATTCCTATTCAATATATTTATTGAATATTACAATATTCAATTAATATATTGAATAGCAATTATATATTGTAATAGGTATATATTGATGTAACTATTGTCTAAAATATATTGGAATCTATTATCAAGCTAAAAGGTAGTTTGAGCTGAGAGCTTGAACTTGATAACGATTGGAGATTTACATGTTCGAAAAGTAGCTATAAAATTGAATAAAGACAATGCAAGCTCAGAACCAGAGTTTTACAAAAGAATACGCATTTCAACTATAAAATAAATGTATAAGGTAAGATATCAGCTCTGGTTTGGGCTTGAATGAAGAGATAATTGTAGAAATAAATTGAAATTTTTAAATTTAATAATTAAAACGAATTCAGTTTTAAAATTAAGTTAAATAATTGCAATTAAAAATAATGTTTTTATTATTACTAATATTATTAAGGTATTTACTTCTGCTTGAAGGTGCTTTAATTATTTGATAAAATGATAATATAAAAATATGAAAATTAAAAACATGTTTAACTATAGAATCTGATTCTTTATGTAGGTATTCGCATAAAATAAAAAACAAAACTAGTTCTTCGTGTAGACCTTCTCAAAGTTTTTCGACATTACGTATTTAAGTTCATTATCACTATCTTTAAGAACATTTTTATTCAAGATTCAATTCACATCAGAGACTTTTCCATACCCTCTATTTTTATTGACGAATATATTTAATATAAGTACGTATTGGGGGTATATTGATGTAACTATTGTCTAAAATATATTGGAAATCGTAATATTCCATCGGATTTATCAAGTTTTGTTTAAATTTTGCATATATTTGAATTTTTGTGTATTAATTTTGTATCTGTAGACAGGGTGGCTCATTCGCCTCAGTTGATTATACGAAAACTGAAAGATGTAGAAACAATTTTTTTTATGAGTATATGTAGAGAGACAATGTGTATAATTCAAAATTATTTTCAAATGTACAGGGTGTGTCAGAACTAAGATCCATACCAAAGTTATATTTTTTCTTATGGAACAGCCGGTATTTTATTTAATTTTTTGATTTTTGGGCATAAAATAAGGTTTTTATTATAAGGGTTTAATATGTTTAAATACTTCGGTTTTTGAGATATTTAAAGATATTTAAATATGCCTGCTATAATAAAAAAATTGTCAACACCCTGTACATTACTTTCCAAAGTTAATTCTTATGCTGACTTTGAAGCCAGAGAAATAAACTTTACTAAAGAAATGTATTGCTTCCTTAAATGTATACAGGGGTATCAAAAATGGCTGGTCTATTTTAAATATTTATTATACATAAAAACTTCATTATTTCAAATACAACACTATGTATTTTTTAAAACAAGTCGAAGCAGATTTATATGCTCTTTCAAACTATATTAGGGTTTCCTATACCTATCTGGCTCAGATTTTGAATAAAAAGCGATTTTTCAATAAAATTGCAATCAAGATGGCTGGTGTCGCAATGGCAATTTGCTAGTGACAGTTAGTAGCTATTTTCAAAATCGACATTAGTTTATTGATTTTATTTAAATTTATAACAGTTTATTTTTATTTAATTTACCTACAACAGTTTAATAAGTAAGCATTTTTTAATAAGTATTTAATAGTATTTATTATTTTATCAAGAAAAATAAAGAAGTAGTTCTTTGATTTATATTACAATGACTGTGTAAATATTGAATTTTCTATAAGAAAAATAATTAAGGCAATTTCATTTTCTTTACTTCCAACGACAAGTTTCTGCTACAAAAGGTAAAGGTAGTTATTACAAAAACTATTTTTTTTATTAATCAACTTTTAAGTAAATGCTTTTCAGATATTGTGATATGAAGAAGATATTATGCTTTTAGGCTGTTTTGTAGAATTTGCTGTTATAAGTGGCAGTTTTTAATATAATTAATAATATATTAAATTGATTAAAGAATTTATTCATTCTAATAATTGTGAACAATAATTGTATTTAATTGCTACAATTATTCGATTTTTAAATTAAAGTTTAGGAATCATTCATTATTATTTTGCACTAAATATTTATAATTATTATTAATTATTTAGCTAACTGGATGAATATAAGATGCATTAAATAGTTTTTAACACAAAAAATTCATTTTCAAAGAACATTTTAATAGATAATATATTTTAGAGAATATTTGTATAACACATGACTTTCAATTATAAAAACTTGACGAGTCACAGCAGAAAGTGATTTTAATCAGAGCAGAAATATTAATATAATACTGGAAGAATTTTCCAAATTAAGAATTATATATATCTTCAGTTCGAAAGTAATTGAATGTGATGGTATTTATACGTTTTCAAATTATCGTAATATAAAATCAATTTTATCCATAATTATTGATAAAAAAAATAAAAGTAAACAGTGAGTTTTGCCCAATTTTTCTACTCATACTGTATAACTAATATGATTATACACCTTAAATACACACATGTCTTTATTATGCAAAACTAAAAAGTTTTAGAATTATTAAGATACTAACACTGATGTAAACACTACTTAATGTATTTACTAAACAAATATTAAACATATACAAGGTGTCCCAATATTCCATGGACAAGGAACTACTACGTATTTTTGGAATCAAAACAAGTTCACTGGACACAATTTACCTTATCTATACAAAAGTGCTGGGTTTGTCCGCCAGAGGGCATCAACCTTAAAAAAAACATATTTGTTCAGTTATTTTAAGAACCGTTATTCCGATTTGAATACTAGAACACTCTAACATTTGACTTTTAGAAAATCCAAGAAAAAGTACGGAAGGGTGAAACTACCCCCACACCCCTACATAAATTTTAGTATAAATATTTTCAACTTCACCGACGGCCTATCTTCTTTTCGTAAAATGGTCCCTCTACATTTTTGTGTCTTGTAAAAAATCGCCACTGTGCATACTTTTCGAGGAAAAAAAATGTCCAAAGCTGACCTTCAAAGAATATTTTCTGTCACATTAAGTTATGGAGGTGCATAATAGTATATGATTTAACGAGCATATACAGGGTGGCGCACCTCATTCGCCTCGGTTGATTATACGAAAACGGAAAGATGTAGAAACAAAATATTTTATGGGTATATGTAGGGAGGCAATGTGCACAAATTAAAATTATTTTGAAATATACAGGGTGTTTCAGAACTAAGATCCATACCAAAGTTATATTTTTTCTTATGGAACACCCGGTATTTTATTTCATTTTTGGATTCTTGGGCCCAAAAAAGGCATTTATTATAAGGGTTAAATATGTTTAAAATTTTTGGTTTTTGAGATATTTAAAGATACTAAAATTTGCATACTACAATAGAATAGATTATTAATACCCTGTACATTACTTTTCAGAATTAATTCTTGTGCTGAGTTTAAAGGTAAAGAAATAAACTTTATTGAAAAATGGTATTGCTTCCTTAAATTTATACAGGGGTATCAAAAATTGCTGATCTATTTTAAGGATATATTTTATATAAAAACTTTGTTATTTTAAATGCAACATCCGGTATTTTTTAAAACAAACCGATGCAGATTTGAATGCTCTTTCAAACTATATTAGGGTTTCCTATACCTATCTAGTTCAGATTTTGAATAAAAAGCGATTTTTAAATAAAATTGCAATCAAGATGGCTGGTGTCGCCATGGCAATTTTCTAGTGACAGTCAGTAACTATTTTCAAAGTCGACATTAGTTTATGGATATAATTATTTATAATTTATAACAGTTTACTTAGATTTACTCACAATAGTTTAATAAGTAAGTATTCATTATTTTATTGAGAAAGATAAAGCAGTATCTGCTGGCGGAACGAATGATTATGTTACTAGTGATTTTATTTTGTGAGGAAAATTGCTTCTTCGCCTCAAGAACTTATGCTCAAAGATATCCAAATAGGAATCATCCTAATAAGCGTTCCTTTGAAAAACTACTTGTCCTATTTCGCAGAGCTGGTAGTGTGGTTTATAAAAAAAACTATTAGGCATAAACCTGTCGTTGGAAGTGAAGAAAATGAATTTGCCGTAATTGGCTCTTTTATAGAAAATCCATATATCTCAAGTCATCGTAAAATAAATCAAAGAACTACTTCTTAGTTTTTCTTGATAGAATAATAAATACAAATTTAATAAATATTATTTATTAAACTATTGTAGGGGTAAATTAAATGAAAGTAAACTAGTATAAATTTTAATAAGTCCATAAACTAATTTCGATTTTGAAAATAACTACTAACTGTCACTAGAAACTTTCCATGACGACACTAGCCCTCTTGGTTGCCATTTTATTGAAAAATTGTTCTTTGTTCAAAATCTAAGCTAGATAGGTATAGGAAACCCTAATATAGTTTGAAAGAGCATTTGAATCTGCTTCGATTTATCATAAAAAATACAGAAACACAAAAATAATTCCTTAAAATAGATCAGCAATTTTTCATACCCCTGTATAAATTTAAGGAAGCAATAACTTTTTTCAGTAAAGTTTATTTCTCTACCTTTAAACTCCGCACAAGAATGAATTCTGAAAAGTAATGTACAGGGCGTTAATAATCTATTCTATAGTAGCATGCAAATTTAAATATCTTTAAATATCTCAAAAACCAAAGATTTTAAACACATTTAACCCTTATAATAAATACTTTTTTTGGGCTCAAGAATCCAAAAATGAAATAAAATACCGGGTGTTCCATAAGAAAAAATATAACTTTCGTATGGATTTTAATTCTGAAACACCCTGTATATTTCAAAATAATTTTAAATTACGCACATT